CAAGTCCCTGTGCCTGAAGGACCTTGGGTTCAGAGAAGGAACACAGTCTATAAACACAAAAGCCCAGTAGTAGCCTGGGCAGTCTTAAGCAGGGAGACAGGCTAAGAACATAATGCAAGCAGGGCTGTGTTGGGGAGGGACAGGGCCCAGCTTCCTGCAGAGTGTCAGGGAGGGCTCTGGGAGAGGCACAGCTGAACTAGAGCCTGAATGATGAAAACAGAGCTATGCTGTGAAGGTCCAGGGTGAGAGAAAAGTTCAAGTGTAGGGAGTAAGTTCAGACAGAAAACCCTTCAAAGATCAAATGTCCTGAGGCAGGCTAACCCAGGGACAGATAAGCTGAGAAAGAAAGGTGACCTAGCTGGAAAAGGGAGGAAAGAAATAGGTGAGCCTGGGGTGGAAAGGAGAGACCGTACCGCTAAGTTCCACAAGCTGCAGGTCGGGGTGCCCAAGTGTGGGAGCCACCACTGGTGGAGTGAGTGTTTCATTTATGTTTCAGGAAGATCTTTGGGGGGAGGGGGAGCTCAGAAATAGAACACTTGATTAGCATGCTTGAGGCACTAAGCTCAGTTCCCATTAGTGAAAGGGGAAAAAATCACCCCAAACCAGGTATGGTGGTCCATACCTATAATCCCAGCACTTAGGAAGCTGACGCAGGAGGATCACTGCAAGTTCAATGCTAGCTTGAATTATATAGTGAGTTCCAGGCCAACCTGTGCTACAATGTAGAGACCCTGTCTCAAATAATTTATTTTTTAAAGGAAAGATTACCAGGCATGGTGACCCATGCCTTTAATCCCAGCACTTGGGAGGCAGAGCCAGGCAGTGAGTTCAAGACCAGCCTGGTCTACATAGTGAGTTCCAGGCCAGCTGGGGCTACAGGGAGACCCTGTCTCAAAAAGACAAAAAAATAAAGAAAAAAGAAAAGAAAAAGAAAAAAAAGAAAGATCACCCTGAATGCAATGATCAGCATAAACTGCAGGGGGCAGGATAGAGACAGCAGCAGAGGCAGAAACCCCCTTGGAAATGGGTGGCCTATGTGGACTAACTGTGAAATAGGGAAAAGTAGACATGGGTCTGTTTGGGGGACAACTGGGAAGGATGAGAGGATGAGAAACAGTGAAATCAGAACAGAGCAACTCCTTTGTTTTTTTGACCTGGCCAGTTAGGCATTTGGTCGCCCATCTACCTGATGGGACATCCAGAAAGATGCACTGAGAGACCACAAGGGAATGCCAGAGCCCACTTTTGGCCACAAGATGCTTCCCAGGGAAGGCACTGGATGGTGGTGAACTATATACATCTAGAATTCAAGGGGGGAGTCTTGACCAGAGATAAAGATTTGAGTGTCATCAAACAATGGGTGAACTGTGAAGCCATAGGTTGGATGGCAAGCACTGTGGGAGTGAGGGGAGGTGAGGACTAGAGAGCCAAAGACAGAGCCCCAGGTCCTCCATCACCCGGAGATGGCAGAGGAGGAGGGAAGAGGACAGTCCCTGAGAAGCATTAGGGAGGAAAGTCAGGGGAAGTGGAGCCAGATATGTGGGAAAGTTGCTGGAGCAGGAGATGACGATTATGTGAGTGAAATGCCAGTAAGAGGTAAGGTCAGACAGCAGACCTTTGGTTTCTGCAGAATTGATGACCTGGATGGGAATGATGGGGCAAAGGGTAGGAATGCAAATGGGGGAAGTGGATCGGCAGATGACAGAGAACTGGGGGTTTCAGTGAGGTGGATGGTGGGGCACAGATGATGGTGAGGCTTCCAGGAGGGAAGAGAAATCACAGGAGTGAGGCCCCAAACAGGAACTCAGGGCCCAGCTGGGTTCCAGGACAGAAAATGGGGAGCAGATCTGGGGAAGATATTAGGTTGCCCTAGTGTGATGGTGTGCTAGATAGCTTTAGTGCCAACTTGACACACCTGGGTTGAGGGAACCTCAGTTGGGGAATTGCCTCTATTGGGCTGTCCTGTGGCCATGTCTGAGGGGCACCTTCTTGATGAGTGATGGGGGAGGGCCCAGCCCACTGTGGGTGGTGCAACCCAGGGCAGGTAGGCCTGTGTTGCATAAGAAAGCAGGCTGAGCAGGGGCCAAGGGAGCAAGCCAGCAAGCAGAATTCCTCCATGGCCTGTGCTCCAGCTCTTGCCTCCAGGTTCCTGCCCTGAGTTCCTACCTTGGGCTCCTGGATGAACTGTGAACTGGGATATGTAAGCTAAATAAACACTTTCCTCCCCAAGTTGGTAGTGGTCAGAGTATTTTGTCACAGCAATGAAGAAACAAAGACAGATGGCTTCCACATTTTTCCTTTGAAGCATGAAGAACTCGAGGCTAAGGCTTGGGAGGTCTAGGGAGTGCAGATACAATCTGGGTGAGTCCTTTCAGAAGACTTGTGGGCTGAATTTGGAAGTGAGTCCACTCACACAGGTGAACTAGTCTTAGGCAAAAGAGCAACCAGAGCTTGAATCTTGCCAGATGAGCAGGACAGATGGAGAAACAGGTAGAGACTTTGGACGTAGGATGGTGATAATTAAAGAACGTGAACGAGGGCACTGAGAGGGCATGAAGGCCAGGAGCTTGGAGGTAAGCCAGACCTGAACAGGGAAAACAGCAGGTGATACTGAGAATGGGACGTTATGAGGATGATGAGCTGAGGCTATGCACTAGAGGGGTGCAGGAAAGGCCGCTGAGTTTTAGCAGATTCCCACGTTCTCCCACCTATCCCTCCCCATCTGTGGAGTCCGAGAGGTATACCCTACTAGAGCCTTCAGAAGGGGCTAACTTCTTTCTTGTGTAGATAGGGAAACAGACCTGGAGATGTTGGATGCAGAGCGTAAAATGCTATCAGCTCCAGGATGAGGTGATTCCTGCTGCTGTCTCTCCTCCCTCCCTATTCTAACAGCAGCAGCTCCACCTTCCTCTGTCCCTGGAGCATGCTAGCTCTCCTTGCCCTGCCCCCCATCCTCTGGGGAACCCGATTTCATTCATTCATTGTGCACTTAATCTTTCATTCACCTGCCCCATCTCTCCTCATTCATTCACTGGGGTTGAATGGCTAAACTTCCAGAAGAGATGAATTCTCACTGGCAAGCTGCTCATCCAGCCAGTCCTCTGCTCACTGCTTCTCATCCAGTCTACACCCAGCCCCCTCGTGTTCTCCATATATCTGCAGGTATCCAGGCTTTTCTATGTCCATTACTTGTGTAGTCCCCTGGGTCACATACATGTTGTGTGTGCCACCTGTCAATCCTAGTCTCTCTCTCTCTCTCTCTCTCTCTCTCTCTCTCTCTCTCCTTTCTCTCCCTCTCCCTCTATAATAGGGCTGAAAATGTATCCACTGTCATTGATCAAATTTCACATGATAATTATTTTTTCAGTGCTAGAGATTGAACCCAGGGCCTTGTGCATGTGAGGCAAGTATTCTACCACTGGGCTGCAGTCTCAATCCTTCATAAATGTCTACAGCTGCCTATAAACAAATCCCAGTAAACAAATCTCTGCAATTTATAAAAACAAGGCTTGCCCACTGGAAAAAACACAAATGATGCAAAAGCATACAAAATGAAAAGCTGTCCTCACAACTACCCACCTAAGTCCTGCTCCTTGGTGCCAACCACTCTGCTGTATGGTTCAAATCCCTCTAGAATTGTTGGAGAGGGGCTGTTGGGAATTGAATTCAGGGCCTTGCATATGCTAGATAAATTTCCTACCACTGAGCTATAACCCTGGCCCCCTCCCCACATTTAAAACTTTTTTTTTTTTTTTTGATGGGGTATGGCGGAGCACACATTTAATCCCAGGACTCAGAGGCAGAAGCAGGCAGATCATTGAGATGTGGCCTGGTCTACATAGGGAGTTCCAGGCCAGCTGGGGCTACAGGGAGTCTGTCTCAAAAACACGAAAACAACTTTTTCTTAAAAAAAATTCAGGTTAAAGTCTCAACTAAGTTGCTCAGGCTGGCCTTAAACTCACTCTGTAGCCTGGGCTAGCTTCAGATCTGCAATTCCTCTGCCTCAGATTCTTTGGCAGGTGGGATTACAGGAATGCACCACAGTGCCTGGTTCTCCTAGATCTTGTTTATAGATACACAAAGAAAAACACATTTACATTTAGCATATGATAGAGTTTACTTTACAAACTGAAGGTGCTCTGAACCTGCCTTATCTCGCTCCCAGCCCTCAGTGATGGACACTGTACCTGGCCAGCACCACAGATCTGCTTTCTTCCTAAGGATTGGGCAACATTCACTGTGGTGCATTAGGCTTACTGAACAGACTTGCACACAGAGGACAATGGACGTGGACCCCCACCTCCAGTGCAGCAGGAGATGGGCACCTCCATGGGGTTTAGTGGACAGTTTTTCTGCAGGCTCGTCCCTAAAAGAGGAATTACTGGGTCCCTGGCATTTGTCATGCTCCTGGATACCCAGGCCCACGTGCAGTACACGAGTGGCTTTATAAACATCAGTGGCATGAATGGGCAGTATCAGATCACTCTGAAAAGGTGACATCCTTTCCGCTCCCACCAACAGTGACCAAGGAGCAGGGGAACATAGACGTGGTCATTTCAGCCACTGGGTCCCAGCCACCCTAAGCTTCAGGAAAACCACTCTCTTCAGACCATACTATTGTTGCTGTGGAGAAGTAAAAACCCTATGCCACCTTATATGACAGGCAGGCGACACCCAGGCTAAGGGTGTCTTCCTACTGCAGGTCTGAAACCCACTGCCTAACCTCCTCCTACAGGGGAGAGCTTGCCAGTGAGAGCGACAGGACTTCCCTAATTAGAGCCAACCACATCAACACAAAGCACCGCCCCCCCCAGCCAATCCTTGTGCTGCTCGCTGCTTGGAGACTTCACTGTGGCTACACTCCTTTCCCTATTGCCACCTCCAGCACCATCTGTAAGCACCCACTGCTCTTCCTCAGGGCCTTGTCTCTACCAGGAACCCTCCCCGCCCCCCCATTCTGGCACCTTTGCTGATGCTCAGCCTTGGTCCTGCCCCCTGCAATGGGTCCTGATGCCCCAGGAATATTACTAAAGGAGTTTTAGAAGAGATACCCAGCCTGCACACCATGGCCACTGCTGCCTCCAGCCCTCCTAGGAACTTTAGAAATGTTACCACAGTGCCTTGGGAGTGGAGAGCAAGGCTGGTCCTGAGTCCATAGCAGCACACACCCCAAAGACATGGATCAGGTAGCAATTCTAACAGCCCTGAGGAGCCTCAAAGGTACTGCCAACTGTTCAGCCTGGGCCAGGCACCCAGTTCCAAGTTCTGCTGTAGGCCCACTAGGGACTGAGCCTGGCTAAGCTTCTCCCCTGCCTGCCACAGGTCTAAATCTTCTTCCCCTTGGGGCTTAACCACTCCTTGTGGGTGGGTCAGAGCTACAGTGTCCTGGACCCTGGCTGGGCAGGGAAGAACAGGTGGAGCTTACCATACCTCTCCTTTCAGGAAATTCTAGGGAAGGAATCTGGAATTAAGTTTTCAATAGGTCCCAATCTACATGTTCAGCCACACCTCCCCTCTTCTGGCCTCTTCCCCACCCTATCTTTTCTTAAGAGACTGATCCCAGGCCTGTGCCTCACACCACAGTCATGTGCTGACCAAGTTCTGGTCTCCTAGAGAGAGAGCACAGGGCCAGGATGGAGGGGGGGGGGATAGGGGCTCCACTCCATTTCTTTGGCCTCTGGGAATTGAAGGTCAAAGCCTTTGTACCACAGATGTGTAGTCCTCCCAGACTGGTGATCAGTGCACCTGGTCACCACTGGTGGGAGTTTGGTATAGTGTCCTCTTAACCCCTGAACTCATCTCTACCTCTTTCCAGCCAGAGGCAACTCAGCCAGCCAGCAAAAAATTAGTGAGCACATGTGCTCTGTGCACTGCTGTGGAGGTACAACTGTCCAGGCAGAGTGGGAAGATGGCTCAGAGCCCACGCAGTTCCATCTCCTACAGGTACACAAGTCATTCTCATTCTGTAGTATCTCAGGGCAAGCTGCCAGTCCAGACTTGCATTCCTCAGCCTGAGGCTGTCTGCATTCTGCTGTGGGTACCCCGACTCTTGAAATTTTCCTCCTGAATAACCTCTTACTTGGAGCTGGGACAGAGACTATGGATCCAGCCTAGTCCTCGTAACAAGTGGCAACTGGGAACGGACAGGGGTATAAAAAGCAATAATTTAAATCAAGAAGGACCAGAGGCATGGCAGGATGCGTAGGGTCGTTTCAGGAGTCCCTGAAGTCCTAGGCTTGATCCAGGAGGCATGGTAGTAAAATAACTCAGAAGGCTGGGTTGTCAATGTCTCTTGGCTCACCAGTGTAGTCCTCAGGCCTGAGGCTGTAGGGAGGGGGTGGCTCTGTGGGAGTGGACTTCAGAATGACCTGTAGAGGAAAGAGAAGAGCTGATTTGCATAGGGCCTGGCCACTGCATGTGGCTTTGGTAAGGAAAGATAAAGTCAGTTGGCAGAGCCCTTCCCTGTTCCTGCTTGCTTTAACAATCTGGACAACAGAGAGGGGCAGCCAGCTGCAGAGCAAGTCAGGGGCTGGGACAGAAAGACCTACCTCACTGTAGGACGGTGGGAGATCTGAGGAGGTGGTCCAGACCCTCTCTGGGGGAGCGATGAAGGATGGATCTGGGGGTCTCTGATGTTCCATCACGGGGTCCTGCTCTGGCTCTCCGCACTTGCGACAGAAGCGCTTAACCAGGCCACAGATGCACAAGAGGGGCACCATGACCAGGAAGATGATGATGAAGATCCTGTGGAGGGAGTGATATTCCCGAGTGCCTAGATCGCTCTCACTCTCCTCCCTTGCCATTTCTCCTCCCTCACCCACTCTCATCCTGTCCTGGATGGACCTGGCCTCCTGTGGACGGTGCCCAGAGGAGCTGTTCCTGGGCTCACCTTAAGGGGTCATTCCTGGAGTTTCCTAAATTTTTCTCCAGGCAGCATTTGTCATCGCAGCATTTGAATCCTTTGGAGCAGTTTCTGGTCAGAGCAGACAGGGACAAGGAGATACTGTTGACATCAATGTGTCAAGCTGATGAGTCCTGGCCTCCCAAGATACCCATACCCTCAAGGTGCCAACCACCTTTAGCAGGTGCAGGGTACAAAACCACTCTGAGCTCATTGGAAGAACTCCAGGACTTGGAATCTGAGTTCCAGGCCCATTTTGTGTCTGGCCTTATGTCTTGTTTCTTACTCGGCCTCCCTTTCCTCATCTGTAAAATGGGTGGAACAAGCATGCTTCTGACCTCACAGGGCAAGCATGAGACTAGAAGGTGGCATTGCTCATTTGACTCCAAGGCGATGTAGGAAAGAGGCAGTGCAGAGTGTCTTGGTGCTAAATGTAGGAGGAACCAGCCCTGGATGACACCCTCAGAGGGAGCCAGAGGTAGGTGTGGACATGGACACATACCATCTACCCACGATCCCCCCAGAGGACCCTCAGGGAGCTAACTTTAGACTGTGGTAAGAAGCCTGGGGATTAATAGCTACAGACCTGCCCCAATCATCCAGTTCTCAAGGTTGGGTGGTAAGGGAGGGGGTATAGTTCTGATTAGAGTGGATGAATGAGGTGTCTCTCATCCAGGAAGTCGGGGTACAATGTGAGTGCACACATACATACCACACACACACACACACACACACACACACACACACACACCCCTGCCCTGATTGGCAATTACAGCCAAAGTTCCATACTTACAAGGTACATCTGGATCCAGCCTGTAGAAGAAAAAAGACAGAGGTCAGAGCTCAAAAACGGCCTGGGGTTGGGGCTCAGTTGAAAGGGTGCTTGGTTAGCATGCAGAGTCCCTGGGTTCAGTCTTCAGCTTGGTACAAACCAGGTATGATGGTGCATGCCTATAATCCCAGAAGTGAAAGCATGAGGATCAGAAGTTCAGGACTCTTTGGCAAGTTTGAGGCCAGCTTGGGATACTTGAGACCCCATCTCTATGACTGGAGCCAGCCTCTGGCCAGCCAGCTCTCCTTCCTCTTCATCTATCTGCTCCTCCCAAGATTGGAAGCTCACCATTCCTGATCACTGGTTCAAGATTCTGTGCCCAACACCTGAGATTAGAGCCAGCAACTTTCCCTTTCCCTGCCAGAGCAACTACAGCACAGGTCTCCTCCTCTCATGCAAGTCTGATCACCTTTTAGTAAATCCATGACTACAGACACCCCCCCACCCCAGCAAGCAACCTAAGCTTCCTCCCTCTACTTCCTCAGTGTTTCCGAGGAAAAGAGTTCCCTAAATATACCTGCCCTTTCACCCCTACCCAACCCCCCTCATCCTCAGGTCCCTGCTGGGAATCCCCTGCCTTGCCTCCCTCTTCAGTACTAGCTCTGAAGGGTAAACAGGGCACCCAGGGCATCTAGACAGAATTCCGCGCTGTTAATAGCAATACTATATCCAAGCCTTAATTGGAACTCTTCTCAGCCAGGCACTTCCCTCTCTGACCACTTTACTTAAAATCACAACTCTCCTGGTTTTTCTTCTCTCCACAATTCTTTTTAAAAAATTTATTTATGGGGCTGGAGAGATGGCTCCACCATTAAGAGCAGAGGACCTGGGTTCAAGTCCCAGCACCCACATGGCAACTAACAATGGTCCATAACTCCAGTTCCAGGGGAATCTGATGCCCTCTTCTGACCTCCATGAGCATTGCATGTCACAGGCACACTTACATATATGCAGGCAATACACTCACACATAAAATTTTAAAAATTAATTTTTAAAATTTATTTAGTTATGATTTTTAAATTATGTGTTATGTGTGTATATGTCCGAGTATGTTCATATGAATGCAGGTGCCCAGAAGGCCAGAGGTGTTGGACACTCCCTGGAGCTGGAGTTACAGGTGGTTGTGAGCTGCCCAGTATGGGTGCTAGGAACCAAACTCAGGTCCTCCAGAAGACCAGTGAGCACTTTTAAGCACTGAGCCACCTCTCTACTGCTCCTACTGATATCTAACCTACAGCATGTTTTACTTTATCTTGCCAATCTGAATGTGAACTCCCTGTGGGCAGGGCCTTTTCTGTTTCTTTGTCTTTTTGAGACAGCCCTGCTGATCTGGAACTTGCTATGTAGACCAGGCTGGCCTTGCGCTCACAGAGATCTGTCTGCCTCTGTCTCCCAAGTGCTGGGACTAAAAACATGCACTACCACACCCAGCTGATTTTTCTGTTTCTATCAAAGGGTGTAGGCATCTGTCATTGTTGAAAACCCAACAAAGTATCTGCAGAATGAATGAATGAGTGTACAATGATTACCTGAGTTCATTTCATCTTGGCTGTCCCCACACTGTGGTGAGGGATGTAGGTGTGGGGACACAGTCAAAGGGAGGGGGGTAAATCATCATTCACTCCATCCTAGCCATCTGGGATAAACAACCAGCACTCAAGAATAGGAAGTCAAGCTGGGCATAGTAGCACATCCTTAATCTCAGCACTCCTAAGGCAGAGGCAGGCTATCTCTGTGCCTGCTCTACATAAACATGAGTTCCAGGCCAGCTGTGCAGCTGTGGCTATAGGGAGACCCCATCTCAAAAATCTAAAAACAAAACATAAAACTAAACCAAAACAAAAGAACAGGAAGCCAGCTTTGGCAAGACTTTTACTAAGGATAATTAAAATAGCATTTCATTTACTGAGCACACCAGTAAAGGCAAGAGTACCAGCGCAGATCACAGTTGAGGTGGTTCCCTCTCCAGGCCCTGTCTCAGGCTCAGTGCCTTCTCACCAGCTCTGCTCTTTAGCGAGGATGGGAACAGGACAAACCAAGGGGTCCAGAAACTCAGCTGCATCCCTTCTCCCTCAGATCTCAGACTCTGCTTCTCCTCCCTTTCCTGGACTACATTTAAGAGCTAATGGTTAGGGGCTGGAGAGATGGCTCAGCAGTTAAGAACACTGGTTGTTCTTACAGAAGACCCAGGTTCGAATCCCAGAACCCACATGGCAGCTAACAACTGTCTGTAACTCCAGTTCCAGGGGATCCGACAGCCTTTTCTGACAGCCTCTTCTGACCTCCTCAGGCACTGCATGACACGGTGCACTTACCTACAAGCAGGTAATACACGCATACACATAAAATAAAATTTAAAAAATAGGCCGGGCGTGGTGGCACATGCCTTTAATCCCAGCACTTTGGAGGCAGAGTCAGGCAGATCTCTGTGAGTTCAAGGCCAGCCTGGTGAGTTCCAGGATAGCTGGGGCTACAGGGATACCCTATCTCAAAAAGACCAAAAATAAATAAATAAATAAAATAAAAATAAAAAAGAGCTAATGTTAATTGACAGGTTTAATAAACTAGTCCCAGTTCCTATTTAGGAAGGAGAGGATCCCTTCTCCCAGATACCCCTGCTCATTTTGACCAGGATGTGATCTGATCCGTGGTGGTTCAGAGCCTGAGGTTTAGGAAACATGGGGGTTTGGGGGCTGAGCTGGGCTTATTCACTCTTGATTGTGAGCATTGACAGTGCCTATACTTGTGGCTGCTGGGAGGACACTAGGGACCCAGGGCTGACACGGACTAGCAGCCTCACTTCTCCTGAGCCAGGGTCTACCGATGGCCTTGGGCAGAGCACTCAAGTCTGGCACGGCAGTAAACTGTTCTAGGGAGCAGGCTCTGGATTTCCCCCAGATTTTCAATAGGAAATAAGTTTAAAAGGCTGTATCTGGGCCGGGGCACAGTGGTGTATACCTTTAATCCTAGCCCTCTGCCAGCAGAGACAGGGGCTCTCTGAGTTCATGGCCAGCCTGATCTACATAGCAAGTTGCAGACCAGCCAGGCCTACACAGTGAGACCACCTTAAAAAAAAGACTTGTTCTGCCAACCCAGGGCACTTGTAGAGTCTGTATTTGAGGAACAGGAGCTGGAGGCAGTGCTCTGCACTCAGAGTGTCAGAGTGCCGGGGGAATCACCCATGTCAGAGGCCACCCAGGTCTGCTGTGAGGACAAGCTGGAACTCTACTCTGGGGTAGTGAGTCATACTCCAAAGAGAGGTTAGGGAGCCTCCTCTTCTCTAGGACATGGCAGAGAAAGTCCCAGAGAAAACGGATACATCCCCCAGATCTGGAGGAACAGAACAGAAGAGGCTCTGACATGCAAGACAGTCTGACACAGAAGGAAGAGTCTAAGACAAGCCAAGGCTAATATAGGGTCAAAGTTCCCATCCAGGTTGGTGGGTGGGGACAGAACCCACTAACAACACTACCCCACAAAGACAAGGGCCCCAGGCCTCCCTCCGCCTTCTCCACTTCCATTTCCACAGCCAAAACAGAAAGGAAGTTGCTACTTGCGTGTGGTTACAAGGAAATCCTAACAATTTAAGGAGGAGAGTGGGCTCGAGGCGAGCCTCTGTTCCATGGGGTCTGTCAGAAGGCTCGTCAGTCTGGCTTACCTCCGAGGCACTCACCGGTTGGAAGCCAGCCAGTAGGCCGAAGAGCAAGGTGGGTGCGAGGCTGGGGACCCCAGCATACGACATCCTGGCATGGGGCCACTGAACTTCCCTGTGGAAGGAAGAAGGGGAGTGGCAGGGAGCGACCTCTCTGACTGCCCTCGACCTATGGGGCAAGGCCTCGGCATGGAGGCGGAGTTAGTGCACCTGGGTTGGGCCAGACTTGGGGCTAGGAGCAACTGAAGGAAGAGGAGGGGAGAGAAACTGGTCTTGCCTGAGTTTGAGGAATTGGGAGGTAGAAGAGATTGCTTTAAAAAATTCACAAACCTGGGCGTGGTGGCGCATGCCTTTAGTCCCAGCCAGTCAGAAGGCAGAGGTAGGTCTCTGGGAGATCGAGGCCAGCCTGGTCTACATAGTGAGTTCCAGGCCAGCTGTGGCTACAAAGAGACCCTGTCTCAAAAACCAAAATATAAAATAAAAGCAAAGAATAAATGATAAAATAAATTCATCAACACAACAAGGCATAGTGGCACACGCCTTTAATCCTAGCACTCACAAGGGAGAGGCTGTCTTATCTCTGTGAGTTTGAGAACAAGCCTGGTCTACACAGAGAGTTCCAAGCCAACCAGAGCTTCAGAGTGAGACTCTGTCTCAATAAAAATATAAAATAAAATAAAACATCGCAAAGGCAAAGGCAGGCAGATCATTGTGAGTTCAAGACCAGCCTGGTCTATGTAGTGAGTTCCAGGCCAGCTGTGGCTACAGGGACACCCTATCTCAAAAAGGAATCCCCAAACTGGGTATAGTGGTGCACACTTATAATTTCAGCATTCAGAAAGCAAAGGCAGAAGAATGAGGAATTTAAGGCCAGCCTGGCAATAAGACCCTTTCAAAATCCCAAATGTAAATAAAGAAAAAGGGGTCTTCCAGATGGTTCCGTGGGTAAAGGCGCTTCTTGTCAAGCCTGAAGACCTGGGTTCCCAGGTGGAGCTTCCCAGGGCGACATCCCAGGCCCCACACTACAGTTCTTCAGGACCCACTCAATTTTCGGAAAGAACACCAACTTCAGAAAGTTGTCCTTTGACCTCCACAAACCTGTCCTGGTTGGTGCATGCCCTTCCCACTAAACAAATAAACAAAAAATATTTAAATAAAACATTGTGGAATCAGCTCAAGACTGGTGAGTTATGCCTTCTTTTTTTTAATATTCTAAATATTTTTATTTTATGTGTATGCATGTATTGCCTGCATGGAGGTAAGTGCACACGTGCTCTGCAGTGCCCAGAGGACAGAAGAGGCTGTCGGATCCCCTGGAACTGGAGTTACAGACAGTTGTTAGCTGCCATGTGGGTGCTGGGATTCGAACCCCGGTCTTCTGCAAGAACAGCCAGTGTTCTTAACCGCTGAGCCATCTCTCCAGCCTTCTTAAGCCCTCCCAACCCTCTCTACCCGGTGTCCCAGACACAACGTGAGGTATTGTATCAGCCCAGGATGGGAGCCAGACGTTGAAGGACTAAAGTGAGGCAGATGGAGAAGAAGCAAGCGAAGGGAATCGTGAGGGGTCACATAAGGGCTGTCATTTCATTGTGCTTTGGCCTTGAAGGGAGGAAAAGGCAGCCTGCGGGGTCCAGGGAAGGAAAACCCGGGCGCAGCATTGCCACAGTATTGGGACATTGTATTTGCTCCCGTTGGAAACGTATGGGAAGTTAGTTGTTGGTCCATTTCCTTTCAGACTACGGAGGAAATTGAGGCTAGAGGCTTGTCCGCATCCGGGCCGCGACAGGGGCGGCGGGCAGCGCAGGCCAGCAGGCGGGGTGGGATTCCTGGAAGGACCCGGCTATGGGAGAACCTCTCCTGCTCCGGGTTGTGCGTCCGCGCAGAGTCTCCGAGTCCGGCCACCAGGTGGCAGCATCGCCCAGCGCTGGCCCCGGGCAGCCCCCGCGTGCGCTGGTGGCCCTGGAGGCCTCCCTAACCTTCACAGGGTGAAGGGTGACGGTCATCGGAGGGAGATGAAAGGTGTGACGGTCCGGCAGGAGGAGGGGAGATGAGCCTCCCGGGGAAGGGGCGACTTGCAGGTGGTGGGTGGGCGCTGCCAGTAGTGAGGGGCCTGGGATGTTGCCCCGGGAGGTGCCACAGCGGCGACGCATCTCCTGCTGCGGGTCCTGAGAGCAACTCCCTCTCCTGATTTCTCCTGGTCCTCCTCTGCCTCTCACTTCTTTCTTTCTCTGTCATTCTGAGTGACTCTCACCAAGTCTCACCATGGCATCTCCAAAGGCACCCATTTGTGTCCTGTTTTCCCGCCTGTTTGTCTTCTGTCACTCTCAGTAGGTCACTGGAGGAAGGAGCCTGTTTTGTTTTGTTTCTGTCCTAACCTGCATTTCCTTGACTGCTTTACACACACACACACACACACACACACACACACACACACACACACTTCTATTGCTCAGAGACCCTTCTGCTCTCTATCTTGACCCCAACAGAATGGCTCCCTGGTTTCTCTCCTACTTTCTGCCTCTGTTTTTCATTATCCTTTGGCCTTCTGCAGCCCTTAAGAACAGAATCTTCCAGTACCTAGCCAAGTGCAATTGGGATCTGGCCCCAGAGAATCTCCTCTTTGTTTGCAGTCTCTGATGACTGAGCCTGGTAAAGGGAACTCGGGGGGGGGTCTCCTTTTGCCAGCCCCTGCAGTTGGTAGTGGGGCCAGACTGCCCACCACACCCCCCTGGCCAAGGAGGACCTCCTTGGGAGAGTGCTGGAACCTTCTCCCAACACCACTTATATTTCTGCCTCTTGAGTGAAATTGTTGCTAACTTGGGCTTCAGACTCTCCTCTGCCCAGGCCCCAGCATCTATATCCTGGGCTATACTTATATGCCCCTTCATTTCCTGCTGCCTGCCAGCCTGCCCAGGTTGAGAAGGACACAGTGGGAGGATCTGGGGTGTGAGGACTGGAAAGCTGAAGGGACATGGCAGGTATCTGTGGCATCAAGAGGGACACGATGAAGCTGATATCACTTCCCTCTGGGCCTCTGTCATCCACCTAACCCAGTTCTATTGTTACCAGAAAAATAAGACACCCAATTAAATTTGCTTTTCAAATATACAACAAATTATTTTCTTCTAGTATGTTCCATGCAATATTACTTATATTAACATTTATTTGTTGTGCAAAACTCAGTTACCTGGGCATCCTGTATTTTTTACTTGTTAAATTTGGCCCTGCTCACATTTCTAAAATGTCACAGGAAAGACATTGGAGAACAGCTACTCCACCCTCTACCCTACATCTTGCCAAAGGAGAAAGTGCAGTCCCTAGTCTTGACTCACTAGGCAGAGTCTAAAGCTTCCTAGAACCTGCCTCTGGCCCCCAGTTCTTTCCATGACATCAAATTGCCACTCTATGTCCCTTCCTGCAGATAGAGAGGGGATAAGGAGACTGTAGGTGGGTGATTCTGGCATAGTACAAGAGCACCTGGCCCTTGCCAGCACCCATCAAGACTCTGGGGGCCAGCATTCCTGTGGGCGAGGTTGGATAGGGAGTTCAGTGGGAGAGCTGTCTTTGTTCAGAGAAACTAGGGTCCTGTCCCTGTCCCCCTCAGTGACCTGGCAGTGAGAAGGTGGCATGTGCACGCATGCATGGGTATCCTCAGGCATGCAGGGTTCTGGAGGGAGGATAACCTCAAGGCCTTCTGAAGTCCGTATGGCCCTCTGCATTCCACCCCAAATTCCAGCTGGGGTTTCCCAAGAACTGCAAAGTCTCCATGCCTTCATATGTACTCTTCTCCGGGCCATTTGCTAAAGAACGGACTGATTGTCTGATGGCCCTCCGAGGGCCAGGCTGGAAGGGCCTGGAGGTCAGCTGGCCACCCACGCCTTCTCAGAGAAGGCAGCTGGAGCCCAGAGGGCAGGAAGACTAAGTTGAACAGGACATAAGGACTGAGTCATGATTGCTAACTTGGGCAGGTCCTGAGACCCCCCCCCACCCCCCCCCACACACACATACACAGCTCAGGTGGCTATACCTTAGCCTGGGAGGTGCGGCTGTCTTGGAAGAACACTCCACTAGGGATGGGAGAGGGAGGCCTTGCCCATACTGGCCCACCTGAGCCCAGGGAGGAAGAGCTAGGCTGAGCTCTGTTTCTCATAGCATCCCAGTCTTCTCCACATTCTACAGCAGCTAATAGCACTGGGCTGTGATCTTTCCCAAAGAGGCAGAATACTTGGCTCTAGCCAGGTTCTTCCTCTAGGGGCAGTATTGTGTTGCCTTAGCAGCTATGCCACTTAGGGTATGCTGTATGACCTTAAACAAGCCATGCATGTTCTTCTGTCAGTCTAAATTCATTTGGGAAAGAAATGGCAAGGAGTTGGAGAACAGCATGACACAGACGAGAGGATGAAATGAGATGCTCAGTGTCTGGCATGTAGCAAAGACAAATAAACACTAGCTGGTTTTGTTTGTGGCAGAATGAGGTACCCAGGAATTAAGGGACTTATGTCTCTCTTAATACTGCAGGAGACCCAGCCAGGCATGGTGGCGCACACCTTTAATCCCAGCACCCCAGAGGCAGAGGCAGGTTAATCTCTGTGAGTTCAAGCCTAGCCTGTACTACATAGTGAGTTCCAGGCCAGCTGGGGCTACAGAGGGAGACCCTGTCCCAAAAAGACAAAAATCAAAACAAAACAAAAAACTGGAGGAGACCAGCACTGCTCCCCCAGAATGCTGTCTCAGAAGCTGTGGTGCCCTGAGCCTCACCTAAGGCCAAGTCAGAGAGGGTAGGGCAATAAACCACTGGAAGGATGGCCTGCTACTGACCACTCCAGGAGGTGGCCGGGAGGTGACCCTGGGACAGAGACCTGAGATTTCCACTCTTCCTGACTTAATCCCTTCCCACACTCCCTGGTGGGATCTCCAAGCCACACTCCCACCTCTCCCCTCAAGTGGAAAGCTCTCAGGGACTGGAAACTGTCACAGTTGTCATCTCTCTTCATCATCACCCCCATTGCCACCATGAGGAGCAGTGCAGCCTGGCTCACCAGGGCCATTGCAGCCATCTTTCATAAGGTCTTTAGCCTGAGCTTCCTGCCCCCCTGATGGAGCACTCTCTTGCTCCCTAACCTTCAGAGGATCCCACCGCCACTTGAATAAACCCTTATCTTGGGGAGACCTTCAGGATCCTCCTTAACTGTCCTCCACCCAGTGTGCTGTCCCTGCCCTGCCACCATGTTCTAGAGACCTTTACTCCACTCTTTTTTTCTCTCCTGGTCTCAGCCTGGGTCACTTTTCCCACCTGGAACACCCTCTTGCCCGCAACCCTCTTTGAAGCCTAACCAATTCCTTTTGCCTCCTCCAGAAAGTCTTCTTGGATTTGGAACTTCCCGAAAGAATGGCCACCCAGCCCCACTCTCTCCCACTCTCTCTTGAAGATGTGTGGACATATCCTCATGTTCCCACCAGGCTGCAGGGACCAACCAGCAGTGATTCAGCCTTCATTCCCCATGGGGCTTTATTCCAAGTAAACAATGGCTGTGTTGTCAGAGGTGAAGTCAGTTGGGGGCCTCCAGGGACAGTGGCCAGATTTCTCCAAGGAGAGAGTATTCTCCAAGGGGGTGTCCAGACTGACCCTACTTGCCATGTGTTGGGGAGGGATTTATCTCTACTGCATCTTAGACCCAACAGTTTTCTGAAGCTTGTGCACCATTCTCCCAGCAAGACTGCACCCCAGGGACTGAGCTACTCTAGGGGTGTTAGAGAAACTGCTGACTTCCCATTCACCTTCCAGGAGGGGCAGAGAGCCCCAGGGTGCTGCCAGTGATACCAGAGTCTTAGTCCCCTTCCCAGGACTCTTCAGCTATGGAAGCCAACCAGTCTCTCCCCTAGGTGTTGGGTATGGGGATTGGGTTAAGTGACTTCTGGAGTTGACTCCAAGTCAGAGCCGCCAACCTGTGGGCTCAGAGACTGGAGAAAGATGAACCACCCAACAGTTAACGGTGCAGGGAGCTTATTATCCTAAAGAGCAGGTTGGAGTATCCCGACTAATGCTCACCTTCCCCAAGGCTTAACAGAGACAAAAACGACCTTTGGGAACTATTATCCTTCCAAAGTGCAGGTTACTGGGGCCCAGGCCTGGGGCAGAGAGGGAAATACCCTGAGGAAGTGGGAGTGTGTTGGGGGGGGCAGAAGAGTGGGAGGTTGAGCTAATGAACTTTGGCTGTCTGGAGTGGCAGATGAAACAGAGCCACCATGATGCTGGAGAGGCCAAGCTAAAGCTGGGTTGAGGGTCTGGGGCACACCCAATCTCCTGGATCTGGGCTTCTTCCCTACTGTTTCCCTGCCCCTCAGTCTGCAGCTCTAACCCACCCCACCTTCACTGTTCATTCCTTGAGATAAGCGCCTGTGGCCCGGAAGAAGCAGGGAAGTAGAAAGAAAGCAGGTTCCCCCAATTTCCAGCTCTATTTATTCACCCCTTGAAAAAGATTTCTACTGTACCCTGTTTGTGGGTCGCTCTGTCTTAGATCAACAATGTGACAAGGGCTTGATGGTACATTTACAAGAATCTTTCTGGCCCCCAAAGAATCTAAGGACTCAAAAAAAAAAAAAGTCCTTTTGTGAACTGAGCACATTATTGAAGGGAGAACCCTTCAATGGTCTGGGGGGGGGCGGTTCAGATTAAGGTTGGGCTCGGGGGATAGCCTGGGGACATCCCGGAAGGAAGCAGGGAAGGCAAAAATGAGAGCAAGAAGGGGCGGAAGAAGGAGGAGGGCAGAGAGTGCATTCTTCCTGCGATCCTGGCTCCCCAGTGCAGCCACATCATCTGGCTCCCAGCTGAGGACAAGCTTGGCTCCCGTCCTGTGCACGCACACATGTGACGGCGCGTGCGTTCGAATACATACGTGTGCTTGCGCTGTGTTCACCCCAGCAGCGTCGGCGCTAACGTGGCGGAGCCCCGCACCCCCAGCCCAGCTCCCTTATCTGCAGGCGGAGCAGCCTGGAGGATCCCCTCTCCGCAGTGGCCCTGTTAGCGCCTCCAGCTCCTGTGTTAGCGCCTCTCCGCCCCTCTCCTCCCCTGCCCCTACCAGTCCCCAGAGAGGCCCCGTGGATCGCAGCCCAGTTCTTGCCTTCTGATTACTTTTTCGACGTTGGGTTCTCCTTCCAACCTCTAATCCCCCTGCCCTCTCCATTCCCGCCTTGTCTACGTGGAGGTTCTTTGCAGAGCAAGGGCACCTAGGGGTTAGATTGCCCCCCAGGTTAATGGCACTCTTCTTCCAGGCTGTGGATGAAAGTTTGGGACTGCAAAGTGACCCCTATCAACCTTCTCTGCCAGGAGCGTGGGTGGGGACCCCAGGAGGCGCACACAGTTTGGGAGGAAACCCTTTGCTAGGAACTAGCAACCAGCTAGGATCTGATGCTGGTTCTGTTCCCCTCACAGTACCCAAGACTGGGTCTGGGGTGGGGGAGCTTTGGGTAGAAATGTCCCCTCCAGACTGCTGCTCCCCGTCTTAGTGGACCTGCCGAGTGGGGCAGGGTGGTCCTGTGCCCGGAGCCAGGTTGTCAGGTGTCCAGGACTGCAGGCTTCCTCTACCAAAGGGCCCCTTCCCTTCAGGCTTTGATGTGTCTGCGAGGTTAGTGGAGGATGTTTGGCTACGGGGCCTAGCGCCAGGATAAACTCCCTCTGCCTGCCTCTGCCTGCTGAGCCAAACCACTGCCTCCTTACCGCTGGGCTCCTGCCTCTCCAGGCTCCCCTGCAGGCCTGGACTCCTCCAAGGCCAGCTGCCCCTGCCTGTCCGATGCCATGGGCACAGGGTGGCTGCTGTTACTGCTACTGGGGAGAGGCCCTGTGGTGGGATGTCTTGCCCCCATCCTCGTCTGGCACTGGGTGCCTACCTGCCTGCAGGGAGACCAGTCTGCTTCAGGTGGGGGATGAGAGGCAAGACCTCACTACCAGTAGAGGTGGGGGTGAGATGCAGAGTGGGGCAGGGGTGCCCCTGGGCAGCTGCCTGCGTGGGCTGAGGCACCTCCAGATAGGAGGACTCCAGATGTGGGGATGACTCAGCCTGGATGGGGAGAAGTGGGCAGTCTGTGGTGGGATGTGGAGTGGGGGGTGTGAGGCTCAGAGCCACTGCCAGGTGCACCCTGTCCTCTAGAGCACCCCTAACCCCAATCCCATGGCCTATTAAGTGAGAGCTGCCCTATGCACTGTGTGCTCAGAGATAAGAGAGTGCCTCTGGGAATGCCTGCCCACAACCAGAGAAGGAGAAAATGGGGAGTCAGTGAACTAGAAAAAGGTGGCCTGACAGTGGGAGGGAAGCCGGAGAGGGGAAGGGGATGGAGGAACCAGGACAGAAATGTCGGTCTCCTTTGGGTCCATTTTGGAGCTGTGGCACTGGGAAGTACACAGACTATATATGTGAGTTTGTGGGTGTGTGTCCTCATGGCTGAGGTGTAAGTCATATATGGGGAAGGGGTAATGTTGGAGAAGTACTGTGTGTCTGCTGGGGTTTGTGAGCCTGTGTGCTGGAGGAGGCTGTGTATGCTGTGCCGACTGGGGTAGGAGAACCTTGGTTCATGAGGTGAAGAAGGAGCAGTGAGAGTGTGTCTGTAGTCACTGACTCTAGTGGGCAAGGGACTGTGACAGGCATGTTTAAACCAAATCACTGTGCCTTTAGGCACTGAGGGTGGGTCCCTCCCTTGGGGAGGGAGAGGCCAACAGAGGTGGGTCCAGCACCGCAGACCAGGGAGGGTTTCAAAGACCTGGGCTTTCACCAGCCTCCCTAGGTTTGAGTAACTGTGGGGAAGTAGCGCCCAGCCTCCTGGAGCTGCATCTCTCTCAGGGCCCAGTAGGGTGATCTGTCCTGGGAGGCGGGGTAGCTGGAGACCCCGAGATTGGGGCTGACATGTCTTGAGCTCCAGTGCCCAGTGTACTGCAGCTGTGCACAGCTGCCTCTGCAGGAGTGCTATCCTGGCCTCTTCTTTGGCCTCCAGGTGGGTCTACTGGCAGAGTCGCCAGCTGCTCCCTGGAGAGGGCCACTCAGGCCAGGGTAAACAGGGCACTAAGTGTCTGGGCGGGTGCCTGGCAGGCTGGGCACTACTTCTTCACATGGAACTGGGTTCCAGGCCTGGCTGGGTTGCATCCTCTCGACAAATGACAGGTCTGATGCCCCAGGCCCATAAAGGTTTTTTTGTTTTGTTTTGTTTTTTTTGTTGTTTGTTGTTTTTTTGTTTTTGTTTTTTGCTTAAGTGAGGGGTCATAGGGCCATCAAGCAGGTAGATAATCGTTCATTTGGAAGACAATGTGTCGCCTGGGACTGGGGCTATGGTGACTGTCTCTCTTGCTGGAGGTGTCCTACGTCCTCTTCATAAGGATCTTATTGAGTCCTCCATAAACTCTCACATACACTCAAACACACTCCTACACTTACCCAGTGTACACACTCATGCCCCCAGCTCCTCTTCCAGGCTTGCACAGCTCTGGGTACATTTTACTATGAGTACACACAGTCATTAGTGGATGTGTACATGGTTGTCTAGACCCTATGATGCCACCATCTAACCCCGCTGGACCCCTGTCTCTGTCCCTCCTCTTAGGACATAGGCTGGAAATGGCTCCTTGGATTCTCCCTTCCTCTAACCTCTTCACCTCTGGGGCCCCTCTTCAACCCCAAGAATGGGAAACAGGTACTGCCCAGCCTGTGCAAGGCTGTGGAAACAGGACGGAAAAGAGTTGTCTCTCAGGCTGCCTGCAGGCACAGGCCCTTCACCCCTTCAGTGGGCTGAGAGCAGGGGCAAGTGGCCAAGGATCCAGTGGCATTGGTTTCATGAGGGTAAAGAGGGGCTGCTGTCAGATCAGAACTCTGGAAGCCCCTCCTAGTTTCCCTGTCCCACTGTCATCACCTTCTGTTCCTCTGGATAATGCAGTGACATTTCCCACTCCCATCTCTCCTCCTCTCTCACCTTCTCCTCCCACTGGGATCAGACTCCCATAAAGGAAGGATGTCTTGTCCAGAGAGGCCTTGGCCAAGTCCATGATCTCAAAATAACTATGCCAACTTGCCCCTTCCTTTGCCCAGGTCTTCCCAGGGGCCCCTCTGCATCTGGGGTCCTTGGCAGTATGGGAGGGGTATAGTTAGATCTGCTGCTTCAGTGACCAGGGGTTTAGGCAGATCACTTTCTATGTCTGTCTATCAGTCCGTCTGTCTCTGTCTTTCTCTCTTAAGTCCCAGCACTCTGGGAACCTGGAGTCTGGGCCTTATCTCTGATATCCAGTATACGTGGCTGGGACAATACAAGGCCTGGTGTTATCTTTAAGAGTACCCCAAAGTATCCTGGTTAAGTCATAAATTATGCCCAATCCAGGAGACCCAGGGAGGTTACATCTCCCAACCCCCATTCCCCTGGCCCCTGGGGAGAGCTGTGGAGCCTGCTTGGTTTCAACCCAAGCATAACAGGGCGAGACAGCAAAGGAGGGGAACTAGAGCTTTATAAATAAGCCTGTGAAGGGGGGACCCCCAGCACTGGGTAGGGCAGAGCTCCTTGTTGGATAGGAGAGGAAGGAGAGCTGTGGTTGCCCCCAGGCAGCATATAATTTAGGATGTATTTTGGGGCACACGCTCCCAGATCTGGGTGGGACAGAGGTTAATTTGAGGGTTTAATGGATTGGGGAAGGAAGAGAGGGAAACCCTCCCATTCAGATGGGTGGCAATGGAGGTTTCTTCCCAAGACCACTGCAGTCTCCAGGGTCCTCCTTCCTGGTCCCCTCTCTTTAGTAGTGAGCAGCTATATGCAGTCGCTTCCAAAGTGTCGGGGTTTGGGTCACAGGTCTTAGCCTTCCTCCCACCACCAAGGGCAGGAGCAGCTGGAGTCTGAGAGGAGCAGCAGAGGCCATGGAGACACTATGGGATAGTTGTTCCGGAAGGTTCTGAGATGCCTCAATTCCTGATCCAGATGTTCCACCATGACCTGCCTGCATCACAGGGTGCTTTCAGCCTGATGGAGTTGGCTCAAGCTATGCCCCCACCTGATAGGAGGCACAAGCCCTGCTGTAGTCTGATGGAATAGCGACAGGCTGTTTTTTTTTTGTTTTAATATTTTATTTATTATTTTTATTTTATGTGTATGAGTGTATTACCTGCATGTATGTGAGTGCACCCGTGTCATGCAAACAACAGACTGTTTTTAAGGAACTTTGGTCCACAGGGCAGACAGACATAGGCCCTGCTTTTGAAGAGGAGCTAGTTCCTAGGACCACTCCTATAATAATTTTAGTTTTTAGTTTTTATTTGCTTGTAACTTTAAAGTCTATGTCCCATTTGTAACTTAAGCCTCAAATTCTGGAACTTTATTCTGTACCATACAGTCTTTAGCATTTGCCTAGGTACAGAACAGGAACTTGATGAACATGAGCTGATTGAATGAATGAATGAACTGGAGGCAACACCAGACCCAAAAGCCCTGGGAGCAAGAAGCCGTAATGAACAGCCAGAACTTGCTTGGCCTCCAGACCTGTATGATGGGGTCCCTTCACCTTGCAGCTTGCTGTTCCTCTGGCCACACTCCTGGCGTCACCAGGTACTCTGAGTGTAGTATCTTGGTCCCCTTTACCATATCTTCCCTCTCTCTCGCTTCCCTTCATCTCTGCTGCAAGACTGAATCCTCTGGTCTTTTCAGGCACCACAGTCACCTCCTCCCTGAAACCCTGCAGAGCCCCCCTAGGACCTCCCTTCTCACTCTATACAAGCCTGCAGTTCCTGCTTCCTCCCTCTTTAGGCCTAAGCCCCTGGGGACCAGCTTATCTGGAGATGTTCCAGAGCCTGGCACCCTGTAGAAAGGGTAAGACCTTGAGTGGGTCAGGTGCTGGCCTTGTTCCAGCTTCTAGGTGCTCCAGGGGGAGGTATATGTGGTTGCTGGTGGGTGGGGGGTGATTTCAGGAGCTGAGGTGCAGGGTGACATGAGTCCTCTGCTGCGTAGAGAGGAGAGAAAAGAGGTGACATGAGACCTGAGGAAGAGTGAGGTAACATTGAAGGGAGGGTGTGAGGGGTGGAGGTGGGGCTCAGGGAAGAGAGAGGTAAAGGCCTCTTGCTCATGAGGTCACACGACTCTGCTCATGCCCCTCTGCAAGGGCCTTGGTGGCTCTGGCTATCCATTCTCTGGCTCCTTTCAGGCCATGCCTGCTCCATCTTTCTCCCAGTCCAACCTCCTCTCTTCACTTTCTCCAGGACACCAGGCATACGTAGCCTCTTCCTCAGTGGCCTCTCCAGTTGGATGCCCAAACCCATGTTTCACATACGTTGTCCAGCTTGATATTTAAACCAAAAACCTGGGAGCCAGCCTCGGGGAACCCCTGGCCCTCATCCTCTTGCCACCAGTCGCCAAGGCCTCCAGCTTCTGCCTCTTACATCTCATGGATTTGGTCACCTCGTTCCATCTTATTACCACTGATGGGCCTGTCCACCATGGCCTGTCACCTGGACCTCAATGGCAGCCTCCTAGGTATCCTCCACCCCATGCTTCCAACCAACCTCACACCTTGTCAAGCTTCTTATAAATGATCTCTAAGGTTCTGCAGCTACGGGGCCTTGGCTGCTCTGCCCCGTCCATGACACACAGACTCCAAGCTGCTCACTCCTGGAGTTCCACTGGGCCTTATAGATGCTGTTCCCTCACAGAGAACATTCTTGTCGCATACTCTGGGGGCCTTCCTTTGTGCTCTTTACCCAAGACTGGGTCAGAGTCCCCCTCCAGGAGCTTCCCTCTCCCCTCACACAGCACAATCAATGGCTCTTGGTTCTCTGCTCCTAGAAACTGCTAAGGTCATAACAGGCCCCAGCGAGGCCTGGGACACAAGTCACACGTCTAGAACCTTCATTCAGGGGAGATTCATGGGGCAAACAAGAAGACAAGAGATGGCTGCTCTCACAGGCTGGACCACTGAGGGAAGGTCTGGGAGCCCAGGAAGGACAAGAAGTTTTGATTGGGGTGGTAAGCTTGTGGCAGAGTTGAGGCTCCCCCTTGCTTTTCCCGGGGAAGCTGAGCGCCAAGGAACCCAGCAGAGCTTCAGCCCTCCAAGCCTCTGTCTCCAGAAAGGGTCAAGGCTGCCTGTCAGCTGCCACCACATCTTCAGCAGCAGCCTGGAGATGAACACACCTCTTAGGAACAGATGTGAAGGTGTCTCACTCCCATTCCCAGCCATGCCAGGGAGAGAGGTGCTGCTCCCAGAGTCTACCACAACCCTGAGTGGACAGCTTTGAAAATTCTTTACTTAAAAAAAATTCTTGGGCTGGAGAGATGGCTCAGCATTGGTTGTTCTTGCAGAAGACCCGGGTTTGAATCCCAGCACCCACATGGCAACTAACAACTGTCTGTAACTCAAGTCCCAGGGGATCCAACGGGCTCATCTGACCTCCACGGGCATTGGATGACATGGGTGCACTTACCTACATGCAGGCAGTACATACATACACATAAAATAAAAATAATAAATAAAAATTAAAAAAAAATTCTTATGGGGAGATAGGTCAGTGGTTAAGAGCCCAGAGGACCCGGGCTCAATTCCTAGCACCCATGTGGTAGCTAGCAACTGTAACCCCAGTTCCAGGAGATCCAACATCCTCTTCTGATCTCTATGGGCATTGCACAACACGTGCGTACTTACACATATACACAAAATAAATAAATAAAACACTAAAAGAAATAAAAATTCTTATGTAGTTTACTTACTAGGCCCTATATGTTCTTATAGAATTTACTAGTTTGATTTTTAACTTCTTTCTTACATTTATTTATTTATTTATTTATTTATTTATTTATTGTGTGTGTGTATGCACATGCATGGAGATCAAAGGACAACTTTTGGGTGTCAGTTCTCTCCTTTCACCATTTGAGTCCCAGGGATCAAACTTAGGTAAGCAGGCTTGGCAGCAGATGGCTGAGCATCTCACTGGCCCCTGATTGATTTTTTTGAGACAGGGTCTCATGTATCCTAGGCTGTCCTCAAACTCACAATGTAGCCAAAGATGAACCTGAACTTCTGATCCTCTTGTCTCCACCTCCTGAGTGCTAGGGTTCTAAGCATGTGTACCATCATGGTCTATATATGCAATGCTGGAGATTGAATCCAGGGCTTCCCAGCCCCCTTGTGTATTTTAACACTAAACTAATACCGCTAATCCCTTACCATTGGGGAAAATGGCCACTCTGGAGATGTGAGACAATGTCAGGCCTGGGTTGTTCTAGTCCCTTTTCCTGGGCCCAGCTCTGCTCTGCACAGATGAACTGAGGCTAAGCCAGTCATGAGATGGGGTGGTAAGCTGGCCACACTTCACCTTAACACAGTGGCCATCATCAAATGGCACAGGGGGTATCAAGGTGAATGATTCATACATGGGACCAAAGGTGCCAGGCTGGATGCCGAGGAGATGGGCCCCTCTCCAGACCCATCCTGGAACTACAGAGGTGGGGGAAGCAGGAGGTCTGCCAGCCTGGCTCCTACTTAGCTTCCAGGGAGCAGAATGGGTGCAGGGGCCACAGACAGCTGCTGCTGCCCCATCCCTCCCCAGTTAGAGGAAAGGGTGAGCTCACACTCAGGCCCAGGCACAGCCAGCGGGTAGGAGACATAATTAAAATGCCAGAGGTTAGGAGGTGAAGTTACAATGGAAAGAATGAAGGCCCAGCACTGCGGCTGCTTCTCCTACCCGCTCCCTCTGCCAAGCCCACATTCGATTTTTATTTCGGGAGCTGCCAGCACAGCACTTGGGAGGGAGCAGAGAAACCTCACTCCATGCTCTCACCCTGCCACGTCTGGAGCTGGGGCTATGAAGGGGGAGAACTCCAGGAAGAGCCAGAGGGTCTCCACTCCAGTATCCAACCAACCTCAGGGCTGGGGTGCCAGGAAAGGGTGGCACTTAGGTAAAGATGGGCTTAGGAAGCAAGGAACGAAGGAAGGCTGATCCTTGCTGTTCCTTTGGACCTTTCCTGTGTCACTTCACTCTTAGGGCTGCAAAGACAGCCCTAGCTCTTCCCTAGGCCCTTGCTCATACTAGGGACTCGCTGTGTTCTCCAGCATGCATGTGTATGTGGAAGGGTCCTAACCCTGATCTTGGTCCCCATGGCTTGCTGTGTGACCCTGGGAAAGTTACTACTCCTCTCTGGACCTTGGTCTTTTCTGTGCAGTGGGAAGGGCGAGAGGATAAGCAATTTCAAATTGGGCTCTGTAGAGGTCAGAGTCTTGCCTTCTGGGGCTGTCCTCTTCTGGGCACATTTTGTATTTGATTGCTAGGGAGATGGAAAGGTAGAGGCTACAGCTGGGCTAGCCTCTGAAGAGCACAGAGCCCTTCCTGCAGACAGGAACATGTTCCTGCTCTGAGCTTTCTCCTCAGCCCTTAATGCAGTCCAGATGCTGCCTCAAGAGAGAGACAGAGCCTAGGCAGCAGATTCCAGGGAAAGTGGTTGGGCTCCTCTCCGCAGAGGGCTAGGGGCTGGAGCAGGAGGCTGGGAGGGGTGGGGTGGGGGGCGGAGGTTTGCTGGATCCACCAGAGAGCAGATGCAGGGACCTCAAAGATACATCACCAAATAAGGGGCTGGGGACAGCACAGACACAAAAAGGAGTGTCTATGCCCCTAAGGGTCTGCCCAGCTCCTTCAAGGTGCCTCCCTGATGCTCCACCAGATCCTTGGAAAGGAGGAGAGCCTTCCCCAGTGTCCAGTTTTGGAACAGCCAGGCACCTGGATTCAAATTTAGGCTCTGCTTCTGGGAGGCTTTGCAAGCCCTGATCAAGGGTGGCTTACTTCAGGATCCTCACTTACTCCATCCATAAAATGGGTCTATTAGTGCTGACTTTAGAGTGGCTGTGAAAGTGACATAAAATTCTCTCTTCCAGCACATAGCTGCCTCCCTGTTAGGCAAGATCCTTGCATGAAAGCTTCTCCTGGGTCTACCCCTGAGCCCTCCTGTTACAGCTTCCCCAAAGTTCCTTCCAAGACTTCCAGGAGACTTCAAGCCACTATTTGGAGACTGTTCTGGGACCAAGCCTGGTGAGGGAGGGTGCTCTGGCTGAGGCTGACCCTGATGCCTGCCTCTGCCTTGGCTGGCTCTCCCCCTCAGGACTCCTGGCCGGGCTCACCCTGGGACTGAAGAGCCACGTCGAAGAAGCAGTGTGCTGGGCGGGGGCAGTGCGAAAGGGGGACAGTGTCTCCCCAGCCAGGCCCCGCCCGCCCTCACTTCTCAGCCAGGATGGCCTCCAAGCCACGCTGCTACCCGCTTCGATTTTTCCACCAGAAGAGCCAAGAGCAAAATGAGAAACAAATCCAGCCTGAAGTTGCGGGTTCCCTGCCTACCTGGGTGGTGAACGGAGCTAGAGAGGGGGCTCCAGCTGTGCCTTCACCTCATTCTGGGGCGCCAGGACCTTAGGGGCAGAAGACTCAGTGGGGGTCGAGGGGAAGGAAGGAGGACTCTCAGCTCCCTCCGCCGCCCCCTCCTCACCATCGGGTGGAAAGTCTGGGCACCCCAGCCCGGGAAGGGAAGGCGTGAAGCCCCTCCCCACTGCCCTATTCAGGGTGTCCGGGCTGAGGCTGCACTGTTAGCAGAGAAGGGACAGGGTTCGGGGAGATGCAGTCACGGTCACGAAGTCAGGTCCAGGCTGAAGGGGTGCAACCACTGAGGCCCCTCCCACTCACCAGCCCCCGTCCCTCCCCAGACCGGCCCCTCTCACTGAGCCTTCTGCCTCCACTACCCCTTCATCCTCGGGCTTTCTTGGCTCCTCACGCTATTCCGCCCTCGTAGCGACCTCATCTCCAGCCATTCTCAGAAACAGAAGCTTCGTAGCACGGTCCCCTGCCCAGAATCTTGCACAACTGTCAGGCCTGACCATTCCCCCTCACCTGTGCTAGTGTCCCTGGCACAGAACTCTTCCTCTGCTAGTTCAGAACCCCACTTCCTGCTCCTACCATCCTGGTCTCCCCAACCCCACAGCTCCCTCTTGAACTGATTTCCCACCAAGACACTGATGTCTCTTACCTCCCTCACACTTGACCCCCAACACCAATGTCCCTCACTTCCCTTATGCCTGACCCCCAATACCAATGTCCCTCACCTCCCTCATGCCTGACCCTCAACACCAGTGTCCCTCATCTCCCTTACACCTGACCCCCCAATTCAGATCTGAGGCTCTCTCCTCCTCTTCCCAGCCATTCCTCTTATGGGGAGCCTTTCACTTCTGCTCCTGGCTTAACCTGTTCCAATCTGGCTTACCTGTGGGACTCTGAAAAGAGCACAGACAAAAATAAAGGCAAACTGGAGCAAGACTAGTTTCCTGCATCAAGGTGACTTACCTGCAGCCTGTCTGGCTGCCAGAGGAAATTGAATTCTCCCAGGAAGACGACACCATCTACCAGAGACTCTAGAACATGCATCACAACACAGACACACACACACACACATACACACAAATGAGCACGCACACATGCAGATGCCCATGACATTACCAGGAAGCCCTGTTCCTTTTCCTCCTCTTTAAAAAAAAAATATCATTTTTTATGCATATGAGCATATTGCCTGCGTGTATGTAAATTCACCTGTGTCATGCAATGCCCTCAGAGGTCAGAAGAGAGCATTGGATCCCTTGGAACTGGATCCCCAGTTGTTAACTACATGTGGGTGCTGGGAACCAAACCGAGGTCCTCTGCAAGAGCAGTCAGTGCTCTTAACCGCTGAGCCATCTCTCCAGCACTTTTCTTCCTCTTTATTCCCCCTCTTCCTTCTCTTCTCTCTGTTTCCTCCTCCTCTCTCTTCCTTTCCCTTTCCCTTATCTTTCCTGTCCCTACCTCTCTTTCTTTCCTTTCCTTCAAAACCAATTCCTTCTGGAAGCATCTGGATGCAGCAAGCAAAGTGCATGTCTCCAGGGGTTGGGGTGGGGAAATACAGTGGCCCACACATGGTTTTGAAGGGCAGATGAAGTAAGGCTGTCTCCAGGGGGGTGGAAGGATGTGGGGGGCATCCAGGCAGGAGGGCAGCCTGGCGAGGGTCATCACAGTCCACACAATGGACTGTGGCCCACCTCAACAAAGGCAATCAACTCATGAGAGCTGAGAGTCCCTGGCCAGGCTGATGGATGAGCAGAAAATGGAGGGACAAAAGGAGGTTACAAGGTATCCTGGGAGTTTAGTATGGGAGGCCAGAGTCTGGAAAGATGAGGGCACATCTGTGTGGGGAAGGGACATGCAGGGCATGCACACTGAGCAGGACATTGGCCAACCGGGGCCGAGGACCCTTTTTGTGTGTGGGCTGAACCATGGCATGATGAAGACTGAGTAGATGAGGTAGATCCAAGTGGTAGACCTGGCTCAGTGGAGGGGGTCAGAATCCAA